CTACCGCAATGAACCACCAGAAAGAACAGATTGTGTTTCATGGCCGGACTTTAAAAGCTTTCGCTGCTGTCGATCGATAATTGCAGTGTAGATAATGAAAGGAATACCCATCTTCGCTGCAGCTAGTCTTCCAATTGCGGGGCTTTTATTTTAATTGGCTCCCATTCCCGAGATAACCTTAGCTTCGGCTTAAATTCATCCTACACTTTAGCGTTGGTGTTCTTATTTTCGCTCCACTGAGCACATTTATTTCGGTTCCGATTAACTTCCTCCTCTATAAGTAGGTCTTGTTCCCACAAACACGTTCACCTGAGTGTTAGTTCTGGCAGTGGTTTTACCTTTCAACCTACGACGACCACATTCGTTCAACTTGCCCATTAAGCACCATATAAACGGAACACCCTTCACAAAAGCAGACACGGCTAACATTTTTATGCTGATACAACGTGCGCGTGCAGTTATCTAAGGCACTTGTAACCTTCCATAGGAATATTTGGACATTATCGGTTAACCTGTGATCACTGGCTTGGAAACGCTTGTGTTGCCTTAAATGTACTCCACGGAAATTGAGAATTGGCATTCGTTTCATTTATTCGATTTGTTGTTAACTTCTCGTTTGCGCCTGCTGGTTGTGATTGTCTAGGTATGTCTCAGTGGTCTCATTGCGGCTAATTTGAACCGCTAGCACCTAGGTTTCGTTGGTCCACCTGTACTACCGAACAAGGCGGTCGATCGCTTTTAACATCCCTTCAGCAGTGGTGGCTGAATCTCATACACTCACCGACACACTTGATACCACGCACTTCACTCCAGTGATGCGCTAGATGCTGGACGCATGCCAGCTCGTTCCCGCTTACCTACCAGCACTTCTAGATGGATCTTTCCGTCTTACTGAAGCCGACAAATGGCGATCATGTTTCTGGGATTAATCTTGAAAATACTGACAGGAGTGCTCTCCAGCTGCAATTATTTTTTGCTTTCGGCAATGGCCTGCGCTGTATGAATGCCAAAAGACTGAATTACTGCGGTAGATCAGATGAATTTAGTTCTTCCGATCACAGTCATACAAATCTATGCTAAGCAACCAAACGAAGATTGCCCATCTATTAAGGGTTTTCCGGCTTGGTATTTCCAACTCGTAAGGTTAACACTTACAACTCACCCTCGGTGACTTCCTGATTCACTAAGTTCTGTCACTGCTCGCATTTCAATTCTTACTAAGATAACGTCGTCGGGCACATAGTAGTAGTAGAGTAGATACAAATTATCAATCTTATTGTGTATCAAAGTTACCTAAATATTTCAAGCTATACGCTTTCGTATCCACAATAACCAAATTATTTTAACAACGCTACAATTGATTCATCCAGTGGTGTCGCTTTCAAGCGGATTAGTGACCGTGACCCAAGATCAAGACAAGCGAAGCAAACTATCGACAGGTGTTGCCCTGAACTGCCTACTGACAGATGATTGCACTGTTTACTCTGAAGTTCGTTGGTTGAAACACTGTTACACATCTGCATCCGACTTGTCATGTTACCTGATGCACTTTGGCACCATTTGTCACTGACTACTTTAATATCTAGATTGCCCTTATGTCTAACACACACGTTGTACACATGAGTCCACAGCAGGAAACCGACTCATTAAGTCGTCATCCTGGTTTTTTTCTCCCTTTCCATCCAGCAACATCTCATACAGCCGCGCGCTCGTTTTTGTCATAGTGGCTTTGTCGCTGCATCCTCTGCCTTCCGGATATTCTTGAGAACAATCAGATAGGCTATTTTCTTGGCAGCATTTTGCTTTTGGCATGCGAATTTCATCAATCCATGATTCTTGTGATACCTTATAGAAAGCTAGTACGATACTAATGAACTCAGAGGTGTGAATCAGTGAGTGATTGCAGTCTTAAGTCGGGATGTTTCCTTACTTGACAACATCAGCAGGAAGATATTCTATTTGGTCCACCGCTAATCGAACTGGTTTCTAAAGCCAATTTGGCTGACTCTGGTGTTTCTATCCACTTTCCAACGCGTATTCATAAGCATCCGTCATACTGGCCTGATTACTACCGTTCCCATCATTTTCCTGACAGTTCGATCCTGTTCATTCCATTCGTTTAGCTATTGGCTTTGATAGTTTCTACCGCCTTGGAAATCAACCCCAGGAAGTTGTTCGAAAATCCTCCTAGTCTGTCCTTCTTTTGTTTAGTTCATACACTATTATTACGCAATTTCTTTGCGAAACATCTGAATTCAATCTTCCTTCTTAGTGCGTGTTATCTTTAGCCCACCAAGAATCAGTCGGCACAACAACCAAACGTTTTTATTCATGAACCGTAGGATCATTTATATCGCGTATAAATTTGAACCGCTTCTTTTCTGTGACCGTATTTTATCAGCCGTTTCCAGTCGCCACATCCTATGGCGTCTGTTTAAATTCCTTGGCCCACTCGCGTTGATCTTCCGCAATATCCAGTCCGACCCACGCTTACCCTGTCTGGGTCCTCGTCAATTATGCCTCATACTTCTGGTCCGGTTGCGGGACGATACTCAATTTATTCGTAAGTAAGGAATTTTGATGTAATTAATTGAGAGTGCGCCACAACACCTTCCAAATCAGGAGGATACGACGCGCTATAGCGCATTTAGCTTGTAGATGATTACCGTCACCGCTGTCCACTCTGGTCCAGTGGTATAAACTGCTGACTGGTGGTGCAAGCCGCTAGTAGTCTCATGCGTTCGAATCATGATAGATCCGATGAATGTGCACTATTGATGATGCCCAACAGATTGAAACCGTAATCTAGTGCTTTTCCTGGCATGCAGGGGATCATCTGATTTGGAAACTGCTGTGACGAACTCAGTTATTGATACCCGCTTTACTATTTGTCCACTGGGCCCGCGTCGGTTCCGTTCACTCTGTTGACTAGCCGCCATTCGCATCTTGTCGCCAGTCAACGCTAGTCAGTAGTAGTAGTAGTAATAGTAGTAGTTGTAGTAGTAGTAGTAGTATTTTGGGAGCTTGCAAGCATAACACCCAATAAGCACAACGACGTCGTTATACTTTTAGATGCCCGCTCACTCCTGAATAAAATTGAAACCCTTTGTGCATGATCTTGATCACTGAGACATGGTTAAATGAAAATACGTCGTCTGCTGCCTACTTGATCGCAGGGTACGGCAGCTTCCGATCCGCTAATCATGGTGACTGATGCCTTATATAGACCAGAAATGACATATGCTTGCCCACTTACAGACCCCTATCTGTGCAGTCAGAAATACTCGGTATTCGTCTCTACTCGTATAAATCAGCGACTTTTTTTATCTTCTGCGTCTACAACCCACCAAACTTTGATACAGTCATTGTAGACAAATTACTGACTGTATTTCACTACGCTTCTGAGCATCATGCAGACTACCGATTCATAGATAGTGATCTCAACATGCCGAATATTCCTTGGGGCACACCTACATCATCTACAAATACGCTAGTTTTGCTATCTGCGTTTATACCCATGGCTTGATTCAGCGCGTACGGTCTCCAACTCGAGAGGACCACATTCTTGATCTCTTCACGCAAGATGTACCAGCAAACCCCGCCAATGTACTAAGCATGTTTCCCGGCAGTGATCATAAGCTGATCGTGCTCACGTTTACCTCACCACCGTCAAACCTTAACATTTATAAAGCCGTAGCATGGGTACCGTGAGTAAGCCTTCACCGACTGGGACTTATTTACATATTTCATTAGATCGTCCACATGGGACAGTTCCTTCTTAACTGCTAACTCTCAAATCGCTGCAGATGAGTTCTATAGCAACATCTGAACTTGTCTTGACGTGGTCTCACCGCTTAAGCATAAGCCCTAGAAATCGAAAATATGCAAACAGCCTACCACCTAAAATCACAAAGTAGAAATCTTTCGCTCGAAGTACAGGCAGACGAACGATTTTTCACTGGTTCTACAACAGCAACAACTTAGCCAATTACTATGCCCTTTGCCACTCAAGGCAAATGGCGGAGGAAACGCATGCACTGTCGGGTAACAAAAAGAGCTCTTTAACTGATCACTTTAAACGTCGAAGCCCTACGACGAATGAATTCACTTTGATCACGCTTCCCGATGGGTCTGTCGTACGTGACCCTATCTCCAGTACGGAGGCTCTGAATTAGCAATTTTGTTCATCTTTCAGCAAACCACTTATTCCCCTCCGCTTGGTGTATCCACCGTAACCTCCAACCGTCTCTGAAGTAGAATTTTCACTCCGAGACAGAAAAACAACTGGGGGCTATGAAACAATCTAACTACGAAGGGCCTAATGCTCCTCGCTCAATCGCACTAGAACTAGGAGCGTCAGATATCCCTCTTTTTCTGCTCAATCTATTCTCTCTTTCAATGAAGGCCGGAAAAATATCCACACAGTGTCAGACAGCCACTGTTGTACCACTCACAAATCTGGACCCAAACATGACGCTAGAAACTATCGATCAGCCACACTTCCATTATTTGCAAAATGACGGAGTGACTAATTGCCCAAAAATGGTAGATTTCCTGCTTAATAGCGCATAACATCGATTTATGAAGAAACGATCATGTGTAACATGTCACTTTACCTATCACAACAATCTTGCTCTCTCTTGAGGCTGCAGGTAATCATCAGTAGTGATCTCCTTAGACATGCAGAAATCATTTGATCCTGTAGCTCACGATAAGCTTATAGACAAAATCGTACCTGTTGGAATCAGCGACCCATTGTTATCGTGATTCAAGTCATACCTTGCAAACCGAACTCAGTTGGTTAGAATAAACGAACACAATTCACAGCCTAGACCAGTGATGAATGGTGTAGTTTAGGGCAGCGTTATCGGTCCACTACTCATTTTATTATATATTAACGATATATTCTACGTAATACACTACGATGTCACATATGTACTTGCTGATGACGTGAAAATAGTTTACACCTTTGATGTTACTGACACGAACCACACCACGAACGCCATTATATTCTATTTAAATGCCCTTGAGTTATGGGATATATGTCATTCTCAACCGAGAAGTGCAGTGCTCTACTGTTATCTTGTACAATCGCACCTGGCACCCTGGTTCTGTTTGCTAGACTGATAACGTGCAACCGTGCAATAAGGGACTTAGGTCTTCCCTATTCTGGCTCACTTAACTTTCTGGAGCACACGGCAAATGTAGTCGCTAAAGCTCGTCGAATCATTGGACTACTGTTCAAAACATTCACAATGCACGATTCCATAACCACCCTATACATGGCAAAAATCCGACCGCTTTTAGACTATTGTGCAATGATCTACAGTAACAAAAGAAAAGGTGATCGCCAGAAACTGGAGACGTTGCAGAGATCGTTCACTAGATGTCTGCTGGGAATGTCCCCTCGAATCTTATGCACAACGCTGCATGGCGTTAAAACTAGACCCGGTGTGGCTCAGACGGATGAAACTTAATATATGTCTCTTATTCGATATTATACTCAAGCGACTTCATGCCCCAAGCACGGACTAGAAATTCACAGATGGGTCAAACTATAGTATTCGACACAACCACAACTTGCTAAAAATAGAACGGCCTAGAACTCAGGCACGTACGAACTTTTACGTGAACGTTTACGCAAAAATATGAAACAGGCTGCCGTCTAAGCTGCGAGAGTGTAAATCATCTAACATCTTTCCTAAGGTAATCCCTACCTTGTTAGCTGTTAATAAAGGCCACCGAGCTGCTTAGACCAAATCTCACGGAGGAGATGGCATGTGAAAACGGTCTAGTAGATAGCTACCATATGGTATCAATCGCCACCATCCTATCCACCCGTATTCGACATTTTATCACCCCGTAACTATTGGCCTCAAGAAACCATACTGGCCTGCTATATAAAAATACAGGAAAGTACCACACTGATCCCTGGAAAACAAAACATAGATATAGCTAATAAACTTCGACCAATTTTTTTCTAGTGTGCGACCATCGTCACATTTGTTTATTTATGAACGAACCGTTTTCCGTATTTCTAACCAATTCTCTTCCCTGCCCGGAGGTATCAGCACAAAAATACAGTGCTTCATGATATCCGTCAATGTCAATTCCTACCCACCGGCTGCCAGTGATACATCGATCCGGAACCTCTTTTCTTGTGACATCATCATCAACAGCAGTACATCAGCCATTTGAACTGATGCTTCGCTGCCATACAACCATGAGGACCTATGAGATAAATAATAAGAAGAGGGAGAGAAAGGGGGACTTACCTGAAAACCTTAATGCCCTAAACAAATATTCAGGGTCAAGGTGCCTACACCTTTTGTAGACAACATATCGTCACAAACAGCTGGCTATCGTGCAAAATTAAGGCGGCATCGGTGAGACAGCTTCCTTGTGGTTTTCACTGCCATGCGTCATAATCAGCCATTACCCCACAGATAACTCAGCACCAAACACACAGGCAATCCGATTAGGAGACGGCAGCAGACGCGCCACTGGTGTCGGTTGCGAGCCATGTCCTGCAAAGTCTCGAGCCAAGCACAAGGTGAATCACGTGGACTCCAACCCGGAAGGCGAGACGGACCAACGGCACCCAGTTTGGTTGTCAGTGACTTTATTTCCCGCTGCCAAGTCAACTTCTGTCCACCTCGAGCCTTGCGCCATCCTACACCAGGGAGACTGAACAAAGCCCTCCTAGGTAAGCGGTGACCAGGCATGCGTAGCACGTGCCTGAGCCAACGCAACTTATTCAGTGCTATCTGTTGTTCTAGCGAGCTAGCATGATTATCACCACCTAGTACTCGCCTACGCACATCATCGTTGGGGATACGCTGGTGCCATCCGACACCAGCAATGCTTCGCAAACAACGATTATCAAAGACTTGAAGGCGCCTCAGATCTTCAGACCGAAGGGGCCAAGTTTCACTACCATACAGCAGAACGGCCCTCACTGTGGCCTTGTATACACGGCCTTTCAGACGGAGGGAAACTCCCTTCTGTCGCCAAAGATGCCACAGGTTCGAAAAGGCAGCTCTGGCCTTTGCAATGCGTGAGCTGACGTCAGTTTCTGTGTGCCCATCATTGCTGATGCAGCTGCCAAGATAAGTGAAATGACCAACCACCTCGAGTTCCTCGTTAGCAAGCGTCAGGGGGTCATCAAGTGGCTGGTGGTCCTGCAGCAACACTTTGCACTTTGAAGGTGCGAAGTGCATACCAAATAATGGGACCACTCTGGATAGGCTATTCAGGGTTGATTGTGCCGCCGCAAAATCGTCGAAAAGCAAGACGATATCGTCCGCATAATCTAGATCAACTAACTTTTCACCAGGCAGCACTTCAACGCCTACATCGTTGGATTCCGCAAGGGAACACTGCATGATAGAATCCACAGGGAAATTGAATAAAAATGTGGAAATCTGACAACCCTGACGAACGCCACTTGTAGTCGAAAAGTTATCCGATAGGCCGCCGTAGACCCTGACGCGGCCTGTAGTGTTCGAGTATAGAGCAAGAAAGATGTGCACAGATTTCGTGGGAACACCTTTTCGCGCAAGTAACTCGAACAGAATCGATCGATCGACTGAATCGAACGCACTCTTGAAATCGAGGAACACAGCTATTGTCGGTCTGCGGTATGCGTGGCGCTGCTCTAGCACCTTCCGCAAAGTGAATATATGGTCTATACAGCCACGTCCTGGGCGAAAACCGACCTGCTCTTCCCTAATCCGAGATTCCCGTTCTGCAGTGAGGCGACCAACGATAATCGAGGCCAGTAATTTTGTCACAACTGGCGTTAGGCTAATACTCCTGTGGTTAGAACAGTCTGTGCGATTGCCATTTTGTATATTGCCACTATAATGGATTCGCTCCAATTAGCCGGCACACTCTTCGTTCCAGATGCGTTCGACTAGGGAGGTCAGTGCTTTGCAGAGGACCTCACCTCCATCCTTAAATAGTGCAGGTGGGAGGGAATCCGGGCCAGCGGCACGAAAACGATTGAGGGCTGTGATCGCGTTTCGGACCTCGGCCTTTGACTGAGGCTCTAAACTAACCGTCCATGGCACGTCCTGCATCACCTGAGCAGGAAGAGGTCCGGGAGCAGGGGGCCAGCTGAACTGATCTCAAAAGTGTTCAGCCCAACGAGCCATACGGCGCTCCTTACTGTGTATCAGCGCACCCGCGCTGTCTGATTGTCTCACTGACGCCTGGTTTTCTGGGACCAATGGTGCGGATTAGCTGGAAGAGCTTGCGGTAATTGCCTACTGTTCCTGCCTCCTCCATTTCTTGAGCCCGACTGGTCCACCAGGCTTCCTTGTCAGCATGTAGGCTCTGCTTTAGTTCACGTCTAATAGCCCGTCTGGTCACATTGTGTTCAGAACCAGCCGGGAGGTGTCTTCTAGTTTCCAACAGGTTCACCGACCTCTCGGATATCCAGTGACTGGTGCGGTGACGATGGATAGTGCCACAAGCAGATGCTCCTGCGTCGTGCATGGCGGCCGAGATCCTATTCCACTGAAGTTCAGTGTCATTAGGACATTACTGCGAGAGTTCGGTATGCAGTACTTCTTGATAGGCTTGTCTGACAGAGGGCTGGGACAATTTCTCCGGTGCTAATCGGAGGGGACGCTTTGTGCGCCTTCTGGTAAAGTTCATGGAGAAACGACAGCGTACCAAGGCATGATCAGAATCGACACTGGTACTCCAGTATGAGCGGCATTCCAGGATGGAACCACGCCACCTGTAACTTAGGTTATGTGGTCAATTTGGGTCCATCGCTGGCCAGCTACAGGTGGACGCCAAGTGACACTTCGGTACCCACTGTGTCTAAAAGCAGTGCTACTAAGAAACAACTGGTGCTCCGCACACAGTTGCAGCAGACGTTCACCGTTGTCAGTCCGTTCGGAGTTAAGTCCATAATTACCACCCAGCTGAGCTTCTGCAGAGCTCAGACGCCCTACTTGTGCGTTCATATCCCCTGCAAGTATTTTAATATCTGAACTAGTAGCACTGCGTAGTAGGGCGTTCAGTTCGTGATAGAAAGTGTCCTTGACTGCATTAGAACTGCAGTCGGTGGGAGCATAAACGGAAATCACAAACAAACAACGTTCTGTTTTACTTCGTGAATTCACCTTAGCTGATGTCAGACGGGCTGCACATAAACGGCTGTTCAACGGAATCCAATCAACCAACAATGACTCAGCCTTGGAGCTGAGAATGATACCTACGCCAGGTTGACCCGTGAGTGCCGCATCGGCGTCTCCGGATGCGTGCAACCAATAATGAGAGGATAAGCCGGGTGCAGTCAATTCAGTAACCCCGTTAGGGTCACTAATCCTAGTTTCGGACACACAAACATCAACACCCGGTGTGTCCAAGGTGCGTTCGAATGCAGCGTGCTGACTTGTTTGTCTCAGAGTGCGGACGTTGAATGTCGCCATGGAAACGGGACAGCGTGGCCTTATAAGGGACTTTTGCTGATAGTCGTCCGATAGGTGCTGTGGGATAGTGGCTGCGGATGGTTCTACTCCAGTAGCACTTCGGTTGCTGTCAATTAAGCTGGGAATTATAGAAGGAAGGTTAGTAATGGGGGCCGTGATGGGATTAAGAGAAAAAAGTGGAAAGGAAAGAAGGGAGGCGCCAGCGGTAGCATGTTTTCGCTTACCCGCCCTGCTGTATGCAGCAGATAAGGCGACCCTTGATAATCTGCGCGACGGCCGATGCAGGATGAAGTTTATGTTTGAAGAAAATGTCATGGTTGTATGTGGGCTGAGATACTGCCAGGGCGCCCAGACCTAGACAGGAGGACGATTAGGGTCCTCATCCAAAGCCTTTGGCTCAAATGCCTGTCCGCAAGGCAGCGGGGTGGCAGTGATTTAGTTTTACAAAAATGGACGCCATCCCATTTCAAACCCCCAACCTGGAGGACCAGGAGACTGAGTTTGTCTGACCTCTCACCATTGACCAACCTGGTAGGAGTAGCTCTCAAGATGCTCGGAGGCATCACCCAGTATAGCTCAATGGGTCAATGAGGTACGCAAACCGTCGCACCACGTTAAGGTCCAGTCTCGTTGCGACGGACAACTTGAATAGAAACTGTTTACAACCCTCTGTTTATAAAATCCGACTAGATCAACCTCAATTCGTATCTCACATCGTCGAGATGTAAACAACTTTTTTCATTTACTTTTCTATCTTTTACATCCGTCTTGTAACATTAAGTATTACTCCCACTTTCCCGGGAGCAACATCTCAGAAGTAGTGCTCCGCGATAGCAGGTACTGTATTTTGCGAACACACGCAAGTGTCGGATAAACCTGAAGATTCGTTTCAGAAGTGCCTCGCATATCGATAACCCGAGCAATTACCTAGTACGGCGATTCCACTGCAGAATTTGGTCGAAAAATCTTGACGGTACTTAAATACAACAATTTCTTCTTTATCATCCCTTCCGTAATTATTCTCCTATCTCCACATATTCTTTATTCTTCTTTACTCCATTGTTGGCTGCGACGGATTTTAGCTTCCAAACTAATAGATGAACTCATGTAAGACCAAACGCCGTAGACTCTGTTGAGTACTAAAAGTACTTAACCCAAAAAGACCGCTTGATGGTACGGGCTAGATGGCCTAATTGTCCATATATATATATATATATATATATATATATATATATATATATATATATATATATATATATATATATATATATATATATATATATATATATATATATATATATATATATATATATATATGGT